AGCAACAACAACAATAATAGTCACCATAGAAAATGAAGAAGGTAAATTGCTCTGGGACTTTAGAATTCAAACAGATTGGGACCTGCCACATAATACCCCAGACTTAACAATTGTCGATAAGAAAGACAAAAAAGTCTGAATAGTGAATGTAGCAGTATCTGGAGACAGCAGAAGAGAAGAAAAAAGAATCTGAGAAGATAACAAAATACAAAGGCCCACAAACAGAAATAGAACAACTGTAGCAAAGGCAAGTAAAGGTAGCATCAATAGTAATAGATGCCTTGAGTGCAATTGCAAAGCAACTGGAGTACCACTTGAACACCTGCTCTGACCCACGCCCTTTTCTGACAAATCAAACACAATCCAGAAGGAGCAAAAACCTTGTAATGCTTTTACAAAATAATTAGCTGTGATAAGCACAAGGCTTGCCAAACTGTGCAAGGCTTGACGAAAGATAACAGACAAGAAATAATTTGCAAGACAAAAATGTTCAAATACAAGCGCAGGATACTGGAATATCCACAAGGCTGTAGTTTCAAAACGTCTTTGCCTTCTGCAAAATACGTTCGTTTCACAGCTGGTTTTTATCTTCTTGAAGGAGGGGCCATTACCTTGCAGCCCGAGTCGCCCATGCTGTTGTGACTGCTCTTTCCTATGAGCAACCCTGTGCGCACACGCACTTGGCACAGGCTCCTCGGGAACATCCTCATCACTGCTGCCAGCCCCCACAATCTCTGAAGGCAGCAGTCCACTCCTTAATGGTCCTGGCCCCTCATCTGAGTTCTCGCTCTCCTAAGCCATCTGCACCTGCTGCCGGCTAACCACAACACCACCATTGGTGCTGACAAATTCTCCACCAGTCAATTGCAGAAGGCGGCTTTATTTGGAACAGCTTCCATCCTGCGACAATATCTGTAGCACCATCAAACATCCACATCTGCCTTTCCCAGGTCCTTGGTAAGGACTTGATAGGTGGACGAAAATGCCAAACCTATTCTAAACATCTGGCTGACTGTGCGATAATCAATATCCACAATCAGTACGGGCCAGTACTGTAACAACCTATTAACTGACCCTTGACAAGAAGAATTAAGAGAAAAATATAGCATACTAATCCCTCATCTAATTGAAGCTGAAACCAGAAAAGGGAATAGTTGCAAGGAAAATGTTAAAGATCCCAGCAACTCTTAAAACAAGGATCAACAGTCTTTCTGGAGAATTGTTCCTTTCAGTGATTCCTTTTCAGGGCCACATGGAGTGTGTGTTGCTGTTGATAAGTGAGAGTGTGATACAAATGCCCACATCTATTCTCACAGCAATCCTATTCTTTGGGTATCAGGCCAAATCACTGGGAATTGAGGCTAAGGTAGATGGTAGGAGAGGTCCTAACTTTTCTCCCTCCTGTAATTATGATTAAGCTCTCTATTTCCCTCTGAGCAGAAAGAAAACAGTATCTGGACAACAGAGATCAGGGACAGATGAGGTGAAAGCCTTTCCTTCCTCAATAATGCTGATAAATATAGTAGGAGTGAAGGGATTGGTCCCAGAGTCAGGAAACACTGCTTGTATATGTTGGACAGTTCGTTGCTATTTAACAGGATACTTGTGGAGCAGGTGTGCGGGGATGACAATAAGCATATAAGTAATGAGGGTAAGCTGGTAGGGATGTCCACTTCAGCTTTGAAGGGTTCACTCACACAGAGGACTGACTGTCTCTAAAATGGCATTTTATAGAAAAGAAGGTAAATCCCGAAAAAGAAAATATATATATAAGGCAACCATTTGTCAGCAATGTCAAATGATTTCTCAGGGGGAAAAAAGGAGGGCTCAATTGACAAGGAACCTCAGCTCCAGAGTAAACTGCTAATGTGGAAGTGAAGTCAGTTTCTAGGCCATCCCACTCTGCTTGCTCTCCTACCTGAATGAACAGTCGCCCGGATATTATAAGTCAAGGAGAAGGAAAAGGACAAAAATCACATATATACTCTACTATTGAAACTATTTATGCAAGAAGTCTCTCTAGAACAGGGGTTCCCAAATTCTTCAGTTCATTGATCTTTTCGTGAAGTTTCAGATTGTTCATTGACCCACAAACATATATTTATTAAAAGAATTTAATAAATAATACTTTAATAATACTACAAACAACAGTAACAGTAACAATAACATTGGCAGCTGACCATCCAACCATGGGTAATACTAAGCTGTTGGTTTGAGCTCCGAGCTTGGCAGTTTGGTTGCAAATGTTTTGTCACCATTTGAGGAGACATCGTTAGTGTGTTTTGAGTTGTGCTCGTCTGTCAGAACACAGATCTTTAAATACCTTTTTATGAGATGCAAATTAGTCTGACTGTTGTTTGTTCAGATAGTTCTGAGACATATAACCAATAGCCTAACTACCAACCTGAGCTACTAATATTCAAACACATTTCAACCTGGGTAACATTGTCTTGCTTCTAGTCACCTCAACTTCATTGGCATGGAGCTCTACAAAGACCCCAAATGATTAATTGACCCCAATTGACCTTTAATTTATCAACCATCTATTTACTGACTCCCCCCCCCCCAATCCACCTTCTGGGTCTTTGTGATCTCTGGCCATTGAATGACCCTATAGACAGCCCCAAAGATTCTTGCACATCAATATTGACTATTTTAAGGAACCTTGATCTACAGGAGGGGTGTCAAACTCACGTCGTCACAGTGGCATCACATGATTTATCATGACTTTTTTCCCCTTTGTTAAACTGGGCATGAGCGTGGCCAATGCGTAACGCATCTGGCTCATGGGCCGTGAGTTTGACAGCCCTGATCTACAGCATCAAATACTAACCTGTAATAATCACAATAAAACCAAGATTGATCTACCTCTGAGCATGATTTCTCTTTTGAAATAAACAAAAATACTGGATGTTTCTGGGATAAAGAGAAAATAGACATATAATGCTCCAGTTCACCTGAAAAGGTTTAATTGGCTGCCGGAACAAGTCATATCCCTCAAGAGTCAGTTCAACATCGCTGTCTGCTAAATTCAGGACCTGAATGTAGCTTTCTTTGGGAACTGGGATAGGCATACCATTTTCCTAATTAAGAGAAAAGAGTGTGTCAACAGCATGATCATGTGAGGGGAAATTATTAGTGATTAAAATTTCAGTGGGTTGGTTAGAGTCCATAGAGATGCAAGTTCTTTACCCTTCAGCCTCATTTCCAGATAAAGGACCCACTGTCTTTTTAGCACATGGATGAGCAATTAATAACATAGTGCAAAGCAGAAAAATAGCCAGTGATGCATAAATGTAGAAAATTTGCATCTCTATTCCTGTGCCTATACTACTTAGCACTTACCTCTAGCTTGAGTTCTACAATAGCTGCAGCTGCAAATGCCAGACTGGCCAGGATCATGCCAGTTGCCATCTTTTTAATGGGCCTGAAAGTAAATAAACACAACTTAATTAGAATAATGTACAGCTTCCCTTCAAGTCTGAGATCACTGCACTTAAGCCACACACATTTGATTCAGCTGAATCCAGCAATCCTTGAATTGAATGTTTCTATAGTATATATGGAACACATTCAAGGTCTATTCAAATGGGTTTGCTATTTTTTAAAAATGCTCCCTGCTTACAAGATTCCCATTAAGTTCCTCTTAGCTCTTTGAGGAGGGAACTGAGTTGGCATTTAGTTAATGTGTGAAGTGGAGGAAAGCAAAACTGATGATCTATGTCCAGCTTGCTTCTGAGAAGTGAGACAGAAAAAAATGTGTGGGATTATTGAGCTGAAAGGACATTAGAAATAAAGTGCACATCTTCAAATAGTTCTATCATGATGAAAAGAGTCAAATGAGGGGATTTGCAGGGGAATATCTCAGAATTGCTGAAGGGCACATTAAAAGGATGCTTTATTTAATGAAAATTTCCTGCCCTTGAAGAAAAATATCCTGGCCTGTTGTGCAGACCACTAAAATGAATTGGGGTCAGAGGACATGCTTGCATTCAGAGTTGGAAAAGAATAACTGGGTTCATTTAAACCAGTGGTTCCCAAACTTTTTCAGTCCACCGCCCCCTTGGTGCTACAAACTCATCCTCTGTGCCCCCCACCCAGGGGTGGGATTCAAATTTCTGTGGGCATGGCCTAATTTGAGAGTGTGGCTTGCTGGTCATGTGACTGGGTGGGTGTGGCTTGCTGGTCATGTGGCTTGCTGGCTGGGCATGGCTTGCTGATCACATGACCGGGTAGTTAAGGTTTGGTGGGCATGTGACTGGGTGGGCATGGCCAGGTAACTGGCAAACCAAATACAAGTGGTCCTCACTTAATGGCCGTTTGTGTTCTAATTTATGACTGGCCTCCCCAGAGCTACTTGACTTATTTTTGGTGTTTTGACCACCATGCACACACACATACACACACACTCCCTTCTAACCCTGCTGGAGCAGGTCATTGGACTAGAATCGGCAAAGCATCTCTGATTAGATTCTAGTAGTAAATAGAATCTAATCAGAGATGCTTTGCCTATTCTTGTTGATTTGTTTTATTTGTATTTCTTTATTTTATGTTGCTGAATTGAATTGACATGTATGTCCCTTCTTGTGCACAGCCCAGAAGCTTTTGTGATTCTTTGCAACAAAAATTACTGACCTCTGGCTTTACTCTACTTTTCAAACATGCCGACACTGCCGCGTTCTAGGTGCCGGCCCCGTAGGTCCACCCCATTGAGCCTGTTGCACCAGAGAGACCTGCCCAAGCAAGTCCGAGAGGAGCGGTGCACCAAGTCAATGGGGTGAGCCTGAAAGAGGGAAAGAGAGAAAGAGAGAAAGAAGAAAAGAAAGAGAAAGGGGAAAGAAAAAGGGACAAAGAAAGAGGGGAGGATGGAAGGAAGGGACAGAAAGAAAAAGAAATAAAGAAGGAGGGAGGGAGGGAGGAGAAAGATAATGAGATATCTATTCTAATCCAATCACTTGCTCCAGCAGGGTTAGAAGGGAGTGCGTGTGTGTGTGTTCTCTTTGTAATTTACCAGTACATTTTGGTTTTGCCTTCTTCAGAATTGGCACTGTAATACATTGGGGAAAAGTAATTTTTTAGGGTGGGGGTCTTGTCCAATGGATCCTGTTTAAAGCCTCAACAAAATGTGAGAGCTTCCTGATAGTCTTGACCATGTTTCATTAATAGAAGCCAAAGATGTTTCAATGTACTGGCAAAGATGCTGGAAAAGATATTTCAATGTGGAAAAGGGCCTCAAGTCTAAACTAGGCCTCATTTCAATCTGATGCATCAGCTCTCGCTCTCTCTCGCTCTCTCTCCCTCCCCCCTCCCCCCTCTTTCTTTGTCTGTCCCTTTTTCTTTCTTTCCCTTTTCTCTTTCTTTTCTTCCTTCTCTCTCTTTCTCTCTCTCAGGCTCACCCCATTGACTTGGTGCACCACTCTGCTCGGACTTGCTTGGGCAGGTCCCTCCGGTGCAGCAGGTTCAGTGGGGTGGATTTGCAGAATCAGCACCTAGAACACAGCAGTGGCGGCACGTTTGAAAAGTAGAGCAAAGCCAGACTGGCTTTGCTCTACTTTCCCTACGTGTCTGTGGGGCCGGCGCCTCCATTCTCTCACACTTCTCCTCCCCTTTCCTTCCCTTTCTCATTTCCTCACTTGCTTTATTTTTTTTCTATTTTATACCATGATAAAATAATAATAAAGAAATAATGGGAAAAAAAACCATTAGAAAAAGGACCCTTGTTTTAGCAGAGCTTCCTACTCCACAATTGAGATACGCAAATTTCTGAGGGAAAAAAAGTTCATCGCAACTCCACTTCTATGTCCGCATTTTTATATTGGCAATTTCCCCCCAAAATGTTACTTTGTATATTTTTTTCTGATGAAAGTATCGATTGTTGTGCTTTGAAATGATGGGCAGATGTTGAAATTGTCCGAGGAAAGGAGCGGAAAATGGAGGAGAAACAGCCAAACTTTGTTCCGGGATCTTCATCAGGGGCTGTTTTGCAAGGAAAAGTGGGATCCTGACCCACAGAAAGAAAGGGGGAGATGCCTTCCCATTGGGGGCTGAGGGGGGATCGGAAGGGGCTCTTTGAGAGAGAGAGACACGGGTTTCAAGGACGGAAAACACAATTTTCTCCTGTAAAGTCGAGAGATCCCTATGGAAATCCCCCCTCAAGGGGAGGGGGCCTGGGGAGAGGATCCGGCCAGATTAGGGGGGATCCCTGCAGATCTTCTCTGTCTCTTCTTGCATGGACTGTCAGCTGAGGGTTTTCCTGGCTTCCCTTCAGATTGGGATGAGTGTGGGGGCCCCAAGTCCTGGCTGGCTGTGGGGCTGCGCCTCCACCCTTGTCCTCCGGTGCAGCTGCTGGGGGCTCCCTCCTTCCAGATTGAGTAGGGGGCGGAATTGAAAGACCCCTTGAGCTCTGGCTCCATTTGGCCCTTCTGGAGTCTCGCCAGCTCCAGCCTGGGTGGTCTCAGGGCACTGTAGGAAACTCAAAGGTCATCTAGTCCACCCCTACAGGGGCACAGAGAAAGGGAGATTGGATGAGAATTGGGGGGGGCGCAAAAGGAAGTCCACCCTCCCCTCTGGAGCTGACATGAAACAACCCCCTAGATTAATGCAGCCCCCCAAGACTGAAAAGATCCCCCCTCCCACTTTCTCCACTTCTCTTCCTGTTCAGAACTCTCTCCTCCATCAGGTGAAGTCAAGGGAGACTCTGCCCGGAGAGTGATGACACTGGAGCAGAGAGAATTCCCATTGGTGCTTCAGCTCATTCTGGCCCCTCCCAGCTCAAAACTCTGAGGAAAAAATTTCCTCCCCCTCGATACACATTCCTCCTCTGACACACACAAACACACACACACAAGCACACATGTTCATTTCATGGGTAGATTCTGCCATGGGAAGAGCTGCTGCACTGGACGACAAGGGGGGAGAGAGAGGTAGCCATCTACATGCCACCTGTTTCTCCCCCCCCACACCCGGAGGCTGCTGGACAGAGTGCCAGCAGCCCCCTACTGCCTCTTAGCGCCCCCCTAAGGCACCCCCCCCGGTGGTGGTACCGCCCACTTTGGGAACCACTGATTTAAACCATGATTTCCTTAATCTTGTTATTTCTTGATCAAGCTACAATTGGATAGATTCACAGATCATACAGAAGCTATCCACCATGGTTTGCAAAGCATAATATAATTCTTTTGCAAAGTAAGCAAATCATCTTCTCTTGGCAGGTTGTGTGAATCTGTGATCTAAAACCTACAAAATAGTCTGCCTGATTTTTGTGAGGAACCCAAAAGAGAATAAACCTAAACGTAAATCTTGCAGAAGTTAAATATGTATTCTCCTTCTGTTTCTTATACATTCTGGTTTGACTTGCTTTCAACGTTTTAAGAGAGGAGACGCTACTCCACTCTCTCCAGTCTGGAAACTTCAAGGTGGATTGGACAAAATCTCTTCAACACTAACCAACTGTGGTCATGCTTTTGCTGGTGATGATTGGACCTGTAATCCAATATGCTCAGAGGACATCGGCTGAACCAAAGAGCTTTCTCTTTGGGAAGAGTCATGGTGGCACAGTGGTTAGAGTGCAGTACTGCAGGCTACTTCTGATGCCTGCCAGCTGTCTGCAATTTGGCAGTTTGAATCGCGCCAGGCTCAAGGTTGACTCAGCCTTCCATCCTTCTGAGGTGGATAAAATGAGGACCCAGAATGTTGGGGGCAATATTTTCTCAGGCAATATAATTTCATGATTATCACTGAATACACAGTAGAGGCAAATATGAAAGCAAAAAATTGATTGCAGAAAGTACAACTTCAGCAACAGAGTGGTCAATGCCTGGAAATTGCCTACCTGATTCTGTTGTTGCATCCTTGAATCCCCACTCCTTTAACCCCAAACTATTCACTATTGACCTCACCAGGGGTGGGATTCAAATTTTTTAACAACTGGTTCTATGGGCATGGCTTAGGTGGTGGGTGTGGCTTGGTGGTCACGTGACTAGGGGACATGGCTTGGTAGTCATGTTATTGGCTGGGCATGGCCAACGCAATATCACTCACATTGAGGGACGCATCTCCTTGCTTGGCCTCTCATAACTGTGGGGATTCTGCAACAGTCGTAAGTGTGAAAAATGGTCATAAGTCACTTTTTTCAGTGCCATTGTAACTTTGAATGGTCACTCCAAACAAGTAAAGTACCAGCAAAGGAGGGGGAAAAAACTCCAGAGAAGTTCCTGAGACAGGAAGTCTACTCCTGCCAAGAATGTAATAAGGGTTAATGGAGAGGTAGTTTCTGTAAGCAATACCAAAATGTTTCCTTCCTGCCTTCCTTACAGGATTAGGCCAGTAATTTCTTCTAACAACCAGTTCTCTGAACTGCTTAGAATGTTAACAACCGGTTCTAGTGAATAGATGAGAACTGGTAGAATCCCACCCCTGGACCTCACCCCTTCCTAAGAGGTCTGTAAGGGGCGTGGTACATAATCGTGCCTACCATCCCTGTCCTATTGTCCCCATTTATTTGTACCTATTTCCTGTATTCTTACTCATGTTTATACTTATACCTATTATCTTGTAAGCGATTGACAAATCAAATAAATAAATAAAAATAAATAAAATATGCTGACTCTATAAAGCCACTTAGAGAAGGCTGTAAAAGCACTGTGAAGCGGTATATAAGTCTAAGTGCTGTTGCTATTGCTACTTACGTGAAATTAAGTCTGCACAGGTTTACCAAGGGATATAGTCCGAAGTCAAAGACAGGGATGAAGACAAGGATCAAGAGAGGATTTAAGAACTGAAATATCAAAGATAGTAGGAAGTTATTAATTTGTACTTAGTAAGAATACAATCCTAAAGTAATTTAGTAGGGAATAAAACTCACTGGCAATAGCTATTACATAACCCTGACACATGTTAAAAAAAAGGAGGCATTTGAATAGCGATGACAACTTGCAAATTGTGTTGCTGTCCCTGCAGATCATGGTGCTTATGGGACTCAGGAAGAACTTATTCTAAGGAAACAATATGCACATATAGATACACAATAGCAGTGTTCAGCAATCCATATTGGAAAGGGGACAGATGATTCTAAATGCATGCAGGCACCCATAGAGCAGCTAGGAGCACCTACACTGATTTCAAATGACTTGATCCTCCTCAAGTCCAGTTTGCTGTGATAGATAGATAGAGGTTGATAATTTCCTATCAAAGCACTTTTAATTATTGGCAATTTTCTCAGTGAGGACCTGTCCCCAGTTGGTGCCTTAATCACTACATCAGACTTGTTCTCTTGAGTGATACTTAACTAAGGCTAAATGTTAACTAAATTAAGATCCATCAGAATTCCATAATTAGTAGACCTTTATCAAGAATTCCTTGATCCATGCCCACTTGTATATAGCCATATCTCAATATCATATTCAATATAAATTACTGATTTTCTGACACAAATAGGAAAAATATAAACAAGCTGCCATCATGTGACGTATTATGATGTTTTTCTCCTTTGCGGAGCTGGGGTGGGCTTGGCCTGCATTTGATGCATCTGGCCCATGGGCCACCAGTTTAACATCCCTGGTCTAGGTGATTTGGGGATATAATTGCCAAAACAATAGATGCCCTTTTTGGGGACCACTGCCATTTTCTCAACAGTGCTTCAGGACCCCATCCCACTTTTAAAAAGTATAGAATATCCAAAAAGAGTCTTTGTTTCTGTGGGTTATATTTATCAGTATTTATCAAGTTAAACTTTGCTCTAAACTAATGTTTGTTTTTACTCTGTATTTCATCTTTTGTCATTTTAATCTGCTTTTATATTTATAATGATTTTGATATCTTTATTTTTATTATACAATGTAAGCCACCTAGAATCACCCCAAACAGCAACACGGGCGGTATATAAATTTAATAAAAAAAATAAAAAAATAAAATTGGCACATTTGCTCTTACTACTGCTTCTTAGAATTGTTTGATGGGGTTTTAATATTGTACAATTTGCCATAGGTTGGCAAATAATGTTTATTTCACAGACCTGAGAGTCTTGAGGCACTCCCAGAGGTGTTAGGACCACAGTTTAAGAAACATGGTTTAGAAGAATGACAAAGTAAAAAAAAAAAAAAAAAGGTAACATATTCCTTGAGGAAAATGAATGGGATGCAATTTTGAAAACATGTTTTCATAACCCCAATTTATGATGATCGACAGTTATCAAACCATTCCCAATGGCCGGTGACTGAATTCCAGGATGCAGTCTATAAGGGTGTATTCCTCCCCCCCCCCCATAATTTTATTCCATGAAATCATTGCAATGTTATCGTTGCACTGTTGTTCAGTGAGAGAACAGATAGCTTACAGCTTCGGCTTACCTGCATTTGGTCAGGTTGAAGGACAAATCTTTCCTAGGAGACAACAACATTGAAAAAGAGTTAATAAAGGCAACAATGGCAGAACTGGCATTGTTGATGCAGGTTAGTAACATATGGGATGGGAGGTGGAGGACTGAAGTGATTCTTCTATAGCTAAATATTTATGTTCATGTTTGACTTCATTTTCTCCTTGACCTGAAAAGACCAATGCTTTTGAAGCAAATCGCTGGCAGGACATAATGAAGATCTCACGGCAGAATATATTATTTCTTTAGTAATTCTATCTCAAAACAGTGTTGTTGTTGTTAATCACAGAGAAACAATGCTTGCTTTTAAAACAGGTCTGCATTCCGTTCTGAATGACATGGTGCATAATGAGCACTGATATGATGCTTCAATATTGTTCCACGGTGACATTGACCTTAATCTTGCACTGTCTAATATCCTGAGTTGTGTTGTCTTTGTAATCTGGATGTGATTTAGTGAATGGAAAATTGTCTATAGGACAGGGGACTTGATATGAGTAAGCTATTCATCATTCTTCCAGAGAGCCTAATTCAAGTCTTTCTTATAAGTTATGGTTTGTCAAGCATTCCATGTCTCTTTTAGTCCAGAAGCAATCAGCTCATTCTTACACCAAAATTATAGCTGATGATCCCATATATCCACAGAAAAAAAGAAATCATTCGCTCACATGTAGGTGTCACCAGCAATCAATATGTTTATCTTTCTAACATTATCCCTCTGAGAATTAGAGAAGATAATACAGGTAGTTCTCAACTTATGGCCATAACTGAGCCCAAAATGGTTAAGTGGGAAATCTTAATCTCACTTAATCTTGTTAAGTGAGTTTTGCCCGTTTTATGACTTTTCTTGCCACAGTTGTTAAGTGAATCACTGCAGTTGTTAAGTTAATATCACAGCTGTTAAGTGAATCTGGTTTCCCCATTGACTTTGCTTGTCAGAAGGTCGCAAAAGGGAATCATGTGACTCCAACCATCATGAATACAAGTCAGTTGCCAAGCATCTGAATTTTGATCACGTGACCATAGGGATGCTACAACAGTCATAAGTGTGAAAAAAGGTCATAGGTCACTTTTTTTCAGTGCTATTGTAACTTTGAATGGTCACTAAATAAACTGTTGTAAGTTGAGGACTAGCTGTACAATGAGGAGAACATTATTCAGATTCCCACTTAGCTATGCAATTCAATGCACTTCCCAGTTAACTGATCACATCAGAATGTTATAAGTATAACAAATCTAGAATTCCATTAAGAAATTAATATAAACCTGAAGACATAATTTTTTTTTTACTAAGTCCATACAATGAACAAGCCTTAGTCAATCTAATATACTCCAGAAGTAAGGGACTCCATATCCTAAATTTCCAATCCAATGCTGGTCAGAAGGACTATAGATCCAATCATTCTTTCAGAATTATTATTTAGAATAATATTCAGAATAATTATTCTGAAAGAACAGTTGAAAAAGTTAGGCTAGTATGAGTCAATAATAGCTTACTAATAGTTCCATTAATTGATATCCTTTTCTTAGCAGGAACTGCTAGGCATATCTTGAAATATATGTGTTGAAAGATGTTATGATATGTACAGAATAACCCTTGAATAACAAGGATATGCACATGGAAATGTTTATGAGAGTAGTTATGAATAATTATTATTTTTTAAGGTGAGAAAAAGCTTTATTGGGATCAAAACTGGCAAGTATATCCATCTTGCATCAATCAAAACCATCTAATTTAGAATTCTGGAGGCCAAACCTAGCGAGCAACTAGATTTATACATACAGCAGTGCAAGAAAATTTCAGCAGGAACCAATTCATTTCTCTCTAGAGTTTCTCAATTCCATATCAAGCCTTCTAACTCTTGTTTCAGCAACAAAAAATAAAAAATAAAAATCCCAATCAAATATAGTGCAGGATGCATTTAAAAAAAAAAAAGTATAAAAAGATCAGATTCTTCTTCTGCCAACAGCTGCATTTTTTTTTAAATATAAATTTTATTTGGGTTTTCACAAAAACATAATACAAATAAAACATCTTTTTTTGAGAATAGCATGATCCCGGGTTATCACTTCTTCATACAGATACAAACTCAATTTCATATTCATCTTTGTGTTCTATTCCATATCTTATTACTGTTTTAATATTTTCTCCATAATTTTTCCCCTCCCTTGGTTTTCTCAACTTTATTTTTAATTATCTATCTGAATTCAATTATATATCTTTTTCTAAGTTTCAATGTCTTTCCAATCATTATATTTATACTTTTGTCTGTCCTGTTTCAATTTCATATCATCTTTTCTCATTGAAAAATTTTCCCCCTGTAGTTACTAATTGGAGTATGACACCTTTATATCTTTTCACTTTATCCATTCAACTCTTATTTAAACTTCAATTTATGCCTTTAAAATTATAACATTCAATATAGAACATAACTTCCAATCGAATTCTGCTTGGTACATTCTTAAAATATACACTATGTTCTTAAAAAGATTATATATATATGACAATAGTAAATAAAATACTTATTCCATTCCAATTCAATTCTATCATTAATATTAGTTAGAATCTTAACATCTTTAACATTTCTTTTCAACTGAATATCATACATCCTTGTGAACCATAATTAATTCTTTTTTTTTCAAATCATTAATAATTAAAATGTTCCCATCCTTTTCTAATTTCATTCTCTCATTCTCTTTGTTTCATTTATTTATTAACAAACATTCCACTGCATTACAATAAGTATTTTATCCATCATTTTAATCATACATTGTTTCATATTTTCTAAAATTATTTCTATTTTATTATAACAATGTATATTATGTATTATATTATGTACCTTTGCAGAATCCTTTTTTCAATTAAAATTTCACCCATTATCTCTAAATAGTCTTATACTTTCAATCCTTGTACCTTTTCCCTGTTTCTCTATATCTTGTTTTTGTCTTTTATAATTCTTTTCTTTCTTCTTCCCCTTCTTCTTCTCCCTCCCCCTTTTGGCCCCTTGTCTCTCTACTTCTAATTCCCTCTTCTGTGATCCTCTCTTCTGTTGCTTCCTAATGTTGTAATTATTTTTCAAACTATTCTCTTTTTTTGGTTGTTTTTCAAATCTTAAACTTTTAATTGTTTTTCCCCCCTTTCCTTTTTTCCCCCACATAAAATTACTTGATAATTAAAGATGGCTTTTTCTTTGTCCCAACCTTCTTGTTCTATAAGCGTTTCTTGTTGTTTCTCATAGTTCCAGATCTCCATTTCTAAAATTGAAATACGAAGCCAAAAGAACCTTTTCCTTCTTGTGCATCTTCTTTCTGTTTTTTAAGTCCATTTTCAGTTCTTCTAAAAGTGATGCCATTTTAAACACTTTTAAACAACCACCGACTGATTTTAGTCATTTAAATCCAATAGCCAAAAATCCAAAAATCACCAAGTAATCCAAATAATCCAAAGCTGTTTCTTCTTGCTTCTTTTTTCCACTTTCTCTTCCCAGGGTTCTATTATTTTGTTACAAGGTTTCAGTTAAAATGTATCTTTTAGGAATCTTGTTAAAGTTTCACTGTAGGTTCCTTTTAGTTCCAGGCAGTCTCCTCCATTTTTCCAGATCCTTCCCTTTTATTCTTTTTCTCTCCTTTCCTGCTTTTAAAGGTTTTTGAGTATCCAAAAGTCTTTGTTATCCCTTTGACATTTTATTCTCAGCTTAAATGCCTATTGATGTCAAAGTGGATTTTTGTCAATTTCTTACTTAAATCTCTTAGCTGTCAGTATAAGGAAGGGAAGAAAAAAAAAAGCCAAATCCTTTCCCTTCCCTCTTCCCTTCGCTGCTTCAAAATCTTCTTTGGGAACAATGTTATTTTTATAGTTCAAATTCCAGGGTACCTTACGTTGTTGCTTTTTCAATTTAACCCAGTCAACCAAAACTTTCTCTTCTTATCTTCCTCCTGCACATTCTTTTCCGGTCGAGTTCTTCTTTGAGGTGGCCATTTCTGACCACCGCTGCAACCGCCTTCAGGAAAGGGAGTAATGGCCAGCTGAGGAGGAGAGATGCGGCTCTCCTCGACCCTGCTGGCCATCTCCCCCCTCTTCATCACCTCTATGGGATGGCTTAGCCCCGAATCCAGCTGGCTCGGGGCGCTCCGGCGGCGAGCACAGATTGAAATCGCACACGATCACAGATTTTAGTCCATCGCCGAAGAAGCTCAAACCGGAAGTCCCTTAAAGCTACAAACATACATTGTTGGTTTATATATTGCCAACCCAACTAATTGGTGGACAGATTCCTAATAAAAGTGACCTATTGTCATTGGGCTACAGTTTTTGCTTAAGCTGAATTTAAGCTGAATTGCTAATAGTGATAATAATGATGATGATGATGATGATGATGATGCAACTCTAATCCAAAATTGTGTTTTAAGAAATATTGGGATCTAACTAAGCCAAGACATATTATAAGTCTTGGGATATTCTTTATTAGTCTCCTGTTCCATGTTATATTGCTTTATTTTGTGGAATTATTTTACCTGGTCAATAGGGGTATAATTTAAACATACGTATTTAAAACTAACAAAGGTGTAATCTTTATTATACAACTATAAACTTTTCTTAAAAGTTTAAAGCAAGAAATACTACTTACAAAGTTAGCATTCATTTTAGTTGCTTGTAGAGTCCACCTGGACCCCTATGGAGGGGAAAGAAAATTAAATGCTGTAGCAGATTTCTGGTCTACAAACTCCCATAATTCATAATTCCTGGCTGTGGCCAATATGAACCCTATCTCAAATATCTATTCTATTCATGAGACACCATGAACCTGAGATTATACATAATTGCTTTTATGGCTAGAAAGAATAAATAGTAAGTAGTAGGTTTCTGTGTTACTTGTTAAAATAATGCCTGTCAAAACAAAGCATTTTCAATATAGTTATCTTCCATTCTTTAAATTTTAAGTGTAGTTTTATTGAATTAATGAGTATGATTAAGAAGCATTTTTCTCTATTTCTGCTTCTTCCATTTCCCTGAGAGCAACTGGCCCGAAGTTACTAGGTTGGCTTCCATACCTCAGGCAGGTCTGGGATTTGGACTTCCCTGCTCCTAGTCTATCATCTTAACTATTAATCCACTCTTTTAAATGATATCAAGTATTGAACCTTTTAAATATATCTAACATTTAAAAATGCTAAGCTAATAAAAGCAATTAACATGTCTTTAAAATGATAGTTTTTCTATACAACATTTGAACATGAAAATATATTTTAAATTCACATCTTTATCTGAAAGAGTTACTGCAATCAGCTAAAATATTATACATTCTTTTCTTATCTATAAGACAAACGCTTACACAATAGATAATGGGAGAACAGCCTGAAATTGGAATCAAATACAGTATTTTTCACACATTACCCAATTCTTGATATAGATGTGATCATTTGGAATTAATATTACTCATTCAGGCAAATGCTTTCTTGTCTCAATAAACTAGATTGGTTCTTTGATCATTTATTTCCCTTTTTTTATATTTTGGCATGGCACCATTTCGGTTATCAGTCTTCACATATTCATGTATCCTTCATAGAAGTACCATGTACATAATTTGCTAACATAAAAGAATTCTCAGTTTGAAATCAATTTTATTCTATAATCAGGGCAAAAATTAGCAATATGAGAGCAGCAATAAGTACAATTCTCTTTTTGAATCAATCTAATAAATAAATTGAATATAAAGAATATATTGATAGCGTCTTATATTTCTCCATTTATTTATTTGTATCCTGCCTTTAATAATTTTACAAATAACTCAAGGTGGTAAACGTAGCCAACACACCTTCCTCCTTATATTTTCCCCACAACAACAACCCTGTGAGTTGGGGTGAGAGAGAGTGACTGGCCCAAAGTCATTCAGCTGGCTTTCATGTCTATCATTAGGATTAGTGTGGACATTTACAGTGTTTGATTTAAATGGTCACCTCCATTGCAACTGCCCTTCAAAATTAAAATAAATGTTTCCATCAAACAAAGAATCTCAATGTTATTGACACAAATGTGTGTCTTAGTGGCAGTTAGCGATGACAGTAATTTACTAGTTGGATTCAGGTAACTCTGAAAACTTAAAGCTGAATGAAGAAAACACAGTTGCTGGGTTTGCATAACATGCTACAAACAAACAAACAAACAAATAATCCACTGAATGCCTTAAAACGATGACCAGTTCATGCAGCATACTAAGATGGCCAGATTCCCACAACACATTGAAGTAGGAAAAACATAATCCAATTTAGTGTACTGTGCAGAGGTGGTATTCAGCAGGTTCTGACCAGTTCTGGAGAACCGGTAGTGGAAATTTTGAGTAGTTCGGAGAACCGGCAAATACCATCTCTGACTGGAGATTTTACAGTATCCTTCCCCTGCCACGTCCACCAAGCCACGGCCACAGAACCGGTAGTAAAAAGATTTGAATCCCAGCATTGTTACTGTGGTACAGCATAACAGGATATACCCAGTTTTTGTGTCTTAAAATCAGAGCTGGTGGGTATAGTAAAATGTTTCTTACTATTGGTGTGCATTACCTGTTGCTCAAAGAGTGCCCAGAACATTGGTAATGGGATGAAGAGGAAAAGGACCCGTGTCACCATTTTAACTTCCGTGATCAACTGGTTCTGTGGAAGGAAATACAAATCCATCTTATAAATATTATAACTTGGTGTTCAAAGCCTGTTTGGATGTTGAGACACAAGGTATAGAAGATGAATGATGAAAAGAGAGGAAGCTGTCAGTACATGCAGCATTCTGTTTAACAGCATAGTCATCTTCTATGAGAGCAATTCTAGCATAAACAATGTGAATATACAGAAAGCAGGATGAATTAAAATATTTTCAAGGAGTACCTATGGTGACCTGTGACAGTAAAGACATCACACATTTATTCTGGAATTCACTTCTGTAGACTAATATGGCATGAATCACAAGGTGTCGCAGCTCCAAAGGATATTTTGAAAAGGGAGACATGCAGGGGGATAATCTTTGGGGGATAAATCAGCCAATGGTTTTTCCAATTCTTTGGTCTTCCTTCTCTACTTGACCTTGCCTGAGAGACTGGAGGAAAAATACAAGAAATGGTGAAATTTCTGGAAGCTATTTTCCTCTGGCATGGTGTTTTTACTGCTGTGATTGTTTTGTTTTTCCTTTTCTTATTTATGTTGACGTTACAATCCTTTGGCTTAACAAATGTGGCAGCCTTAGCAATCTAACAAATGAATTAATAAAATTGGAAGCCATTTTAGTTGGGAGGCTTTGTTAAAGAGATATTTTGCCAGGTCCTGTTTCTTTCTATCCTTGCTCTTGCCTGGGATTAGAATGCTAAAATTTGTAATCCCTTCCTAAACTTTACATCCTTAATTTGTAACCACCTCTTAAGTAACTGAAAAGTGAAACTTGGTCTGACCATCCATCTCATAAAAGAAATTAAGGGGTGTAATATGGTTATATGTGTGGCATGGCTATACTAGTGACAAAACTGTGTGTGTGTGTGCATTTGTGTAGATGTGAGTAAGAAGCTATCATAGAGAGTAGGAAATTGGTCTCCAGTCACCGGGCAGAAGATTATCCATCCACTGCTAGCATTTAATGATGTTAAAGGAAAAAAAGATTGGAAAGCATGAGACTATGAATGGATTTAGTTTATTTGTAACAAGGACAAAATTGCTCTGGATTTTGTGGCAGCCATATGGAAGCAGCTTGCCATTATCTTTTCCTAGGATTTTAAAAAACAAACCCATGTTTTTGTGTAGTCTACCACCTGTCAGTTTTTGAGCATTCCCACTCAAATGTGAAAGAGATTTGGCTCTGTTTAAAATTCTGTTAAGTGCAATGGTGGTAAGAGAACAATTCAAACACTCTGAAAGGCAGCCTGAGTTGATGGATCCCAGTTGATTTAGAAATTTTAGGCAAGTAAGTTTGAAATTAGATAAACAGGGAATGCAAATTTTAGTTCTCCACTGTGCAGAGAGGAACATATAAAGCTGGCACAAACATAACTGTGGTAGAGAAATTGAGTATTACATCCCAGATATGCTGGTAGACATAATATCTGAAATGGGCTTGTTTTTTCTTCAGTGGGCAAATTATTGTATTTCTCACAGATTGTGTTCCTCTCCCTAGCTAAAGAAAGAAGAGAAAGTTAATACATAACAGATCTCAAGGGGATCTGACACTTGAATGGTACTTAGGATGAGCATTCTTCTGTCAGATCTAAATGTTAAGTCAGGAGGATCCATCACTGATAGCGTTATTAGTTTAATTTTAATAAGAAACCTATAGCATGTATATACAATGTATTGAAATGCAAATGTTTACTTACTGAATATTTTTCTGATGCCCAGTCTAGCCAATGCTCTCTTTTGGGTATCTCTGGGGAACGATTTCTGATTCGGTTTCTCAAAGCAAACTGAAGAGGAATGCACAAAATTAAAGGAGATGTATGGATTAGAGTTATATCAATAAGCCTCCAATATAAGCCTTGTTTCCACTGCCCCAATGCTAAAGTCTATTGCACTGATTTGTATTTCATCTTATTCCTGGTTTTATAAAGATGTCTTAAATGAAGTTCTGTTGTTTTATTGGCCATCTTTCAGAAGATGTAGCTGTCAACCCTGAAGCTAACCTGGCTGGGGGCATCTTTCAGGCTTCAGGGTTGCCACTAGATCGGAGGGGGAGGGAAATAGTTAACTGGGGTTTTGCAGTCAAAACAAAAGGTTTTCCTGTGGGAACCAAGGTCATTCTAACAAGTGGCTGGGAGAGGAGCAGCGAAGTAACCAAGCAACTGGCCAACACTTCCATTGGACCATGTGACTGATGACTTGGGGAAAGGGGAAAAACTTTCTCTTTTAATTAGGTGAAAACTGCATGAACTTTCAGAGTCAGTTTTCACCAGTTGTGCCAATATGATGTATCCAAGAAATTTGTTCTTTGAGTAATCTACCTGCCTCAGAGTTCTGCTTTCTTTGAGTGCATTACTTGGAATGCTGACAGCATCATTATTTGAGGGACAATTATATATAGAATCCTGGATTCAACATCCATCAATAGCACCCAAACAAATCTAAATTATAAGGTTTTTTTCTAATTTATTTCCTGGGAGCTGACCAGAGCTGCCCGCCCACCCTCAAAAAAAAGGCAGCATAGCTATTTCTGGACCTATTTTGACATAGTGAATAAACTAATATGAGGTCTTACCATAGAGATATGCTTTATAAAAATATGAATCATGAATTATAAACAAAAGATTCCACCCTGAACACGGAAGCATTTGTCATAAATACTAAATTCATACAAGATTCACAATTCAGCTTTTTGTTAGTAATGAAGCAAATATTCATGAAAAGTATATGATTATGCTTCTTTCTCATATCTAATCTTGATTTGCCCAGCCTGGTCCTGGTCAGACTTGTCAAACTGCCAGTTCCAAAATCTTTCATTTTTCCTTTTAGTTGTGATGATTAATCTACTGCATATCTCACAAATCTCTGTGATTTAAATGATTTTGGCTCCCCTATAGGCAGATAAGAACAGCAACTTAAATGGTCCATCTTCTATTAATATATCAATTTGTTAAAATATAACTATCTTAAATTAATAGTATACCTGTATTGTGTTAATTAACTTCATATAATAATCATCCATTAACTATTGTATGAGAAAATATTTCCTTTTGTCTGCAATGAATATAGAGCCCATCAATTTCACTGAATGACTTTGAGTTCTATTATCCTTTACAAATAGGAATGGAGTGGGGGGAAGAGAGATTTTTTTCATCCTCTGCACTATTCAGAATTTTATTAATGTTGATGAAATCACATCCTTGAGTAAATCTTTTTTCCTCCTCACTCTAAAAAAGCCCCAAGTGCTTTGCAGTGTAAATTGTTGTTATGACTTCAGTGCCGCAGTACAGTAATACTAAACAGGATGACAGATGGGAAGGAACCAATATACCAAATATTATAACCCAAAATCTCTGGTGTAACCCCAGTACATAGAAATCAATTGACCAAAATTATCACATGAACAAATGGGATGGATGAATAACTACTGGGATTATGTCTCACACCTAGATGAAATTGGGTACTGACCTTGGAGTTTTAATATAAAAACCCCATGCAAGTGACTTTAATGAAGTCATTAAAAACCCATGCAGATGACTACAATGAAGGAATAATCAAAGTAGGTGAATGAGTTCATATGTTCCAGCCATGGTCCTGATCTCCATGTGTTGACCTGAAAATAATTTCAGTATATGTGTCACTTGGGAAAAAACAACTTAACTGAGTGTACTAATTAACTCCATATTATAGAGGTGGAGTTCAAACTCCAGCTTTAAGAGACCGCTCTGTTATTTACTCAAGGCCTTTTCCTCTAATGAAAGACCATGAAAGCCTTATCAGGCATTGGTGACAGGCAAAACTAGGAAATCCAGCTACAGTATGTAGCTGGGTTCAGGGGTGGAATTCAACTGGTGTTACTACCGGTTTGGTGACTATGTTTTGCGCGTGCATCCCACCCCTGGCTGGGTTCTGCCATTTTGATTTGCTGCCATATCTCAGCAGTATGCAAAATTGGGAACTTGCTAAGAAATTCAAGAGGCAGGTTTACGATAGTTTACGGCTGTCTCAAAAATATATCCTGCAATTTTTTTTCTTTTAGCCTTCTAAATTGGTCTGATGAAAGAGAAAGTGATGGTTTCATTGGCTGCAGGACAGGGTAGGGACAGTCTCATTGGCAAAATGTGGCATTCTTGCATTGCCCAAGAGATCTACTATAATGATCTGAAACCTCCCTGTCTTCCCATTCCACAATTGAATTCAAGAGAGATGCTAGCCTTTTATAAACTGGGCCAATATACGTATTATTATGCACATGCATGCAACTAGGTATAATAATCATTAATCAGTTTTAATTTTTTAAAAATAAACTTTAAAGATATCTCCACTTCAATAGCATTTTTTTTTTACCAATTGGTAATAAACTCTAGTATGGCTGAAGTCTGTTCCAATTGACAATGCTGAATATTGTAATCCTAGATCAGGGCTGTGAAACTCGTGGCCCGCGGGGTGGTTGTGTCACATGCTGGCTACGCCCACACCCAGTTTAGCAAAGGGGGAAAAAAGTCCCGATACATCACATGATGTTGCCATGTCAACACGAGTTTGACACCCCTGTCCTAGATAATTGGGAAGGCAGATTGAAAAAGAAGATTATAATGGAACCTCGGGTGGAAAACACTCCTGTTTTTGACCAAATTGGGTGGCGAACAAAAAATCCAACCAATTTTGTAATTGGGTCATGATTCAAAAATTGGGTGGTGAACAAAATCAGCACAGAAAGGTTCCCTTTCCGTGCTGATTTCCCCTTCTGCACCATTGTTTTTCCTGCGTGCATGCACAGTTGGTCGTGCTTCTACAACCTGAGGCTCCACTGTACTGTAAGCCCTTTGGGTTGTCCCAGATGAGGAAACAGGCTCCATAGGAAGACTAGAATGGAACTTTATTGAGATAAGCTATAATAACAGCTTTTCCAGACCTGATAATGCCTTGCCTTTCTCTTTATATTCCAGTGAATTAGGGAAGAGCCTGCCTAAGCTTCTTCTAAACATTATCTTGTTCCCCAGGATTTGAGGAATGATGTAACCTTCTTGGTACTTATGTAAAGCTTCTTTCCTGTTTCCCTCAAGGTCATCTCTCTGATTCTCTGCCGATACACCTGTCATTTTAAATACCAAATACTGTAAATGATAATAAATGAACTTTAAAACACCTACAACAAAAGTCTTAAGATGCACCCACAAACTCTCTCTTATCAATTAGAATGAAATGTAACTTCTAAGGCATACTAGAACATTTGCAGATAATAAAGGAATACAATTGCGTCTGGGTTCAAAAATTGTTTAAATTCTTATACAAATGTGTAAAACCATAATCAGCAAGTTGTTTCATTTTAGTTCTCAGAACATTAATCCTATCACTATTTTTCTAGAGTAAGTCCCGTTGGCTTTAGTAAACATGTATTTTCATTGGAAAAGCAATAAGTGTTTTTTCAATATGTTTGTGTTTTTAATCCTAAAACATGTGATCATGCAATAGAAAGTAATTTTTTTTACATTTTGTACATAAAAAAGGAAAGCATACAGTACTTACTACAATGCACTTGCAAACTTCCAGCAAGATATTTCCTTGTGGTGGAATCTTTTTGTAAAGTCTATTTCCAGAGATAAACACAACTAGAAAAAAAAATTTCATTTCAGTATAGAAACAGGCATATATAATTTATATAACAATAACTGGTAGCAATTAAGAAAATTCTTCCATGAGGTGCACTGAGTTTTCACTAGTCTTTTTGCTATCCTCTTTGATTTCCTACCTCAAAACCCTTTTTCCTGTTCTAAATACAGGTAATCCTTGACTTACAACAGTTCGTTTAGTGACTGTTCAAAGTCACAGCAGCACTTTAAAAAAGTGACTTATGACCATTTTTCACACTTACAACCATTCCAGCATTCCCTGTGATCACATGATCAAAATTCAGACATTTGGCAACCGACTCATATTTATGATGGTGACAGAGTCCTGGGTCATGGAATCAATAATCTTTTGTTACTTCCTTACAAGCAAAGTCAATGGGGAAGCCAGATTCATTTAATAACTGTATTACCAATATAATAACTGCAGCAATTCACTTAACAACTGTTTGAAAATGGGGCAAAATTTACTTAATAAATGTTTCACTTAGCAACCAAAATATTGGGCTCAATTATGGTCATAAGTAAAGGACTATCTGTATTTCTTTCCCTTAGTAAGTAAATTCGACACAATATTAGAGAGAACTAGTATGATCCGGCCCCAAAAGATATGTTCAGATTTAAACTGAGTGATTTGAAATCCTATAATGTGTACTCACTCCATTACCACTGAAAGATTGCCTTATTTACCAATTTATTTGTCTATTTATTTATGTGTTTGCTTGATGGGGCTTATTTACCACCCCAATCCAATAAAAACTATTTCACTAATTGGTAGACTTTAAAAAGGAATGACAGCATTTGCTGGCAACGTTTCCCTTGACTATTTCTATGTTCTACTCATCAGATGACAACCAATTAAAAATAATACTAAGCGCAAAACAGATGTCTTATTAAATAGGGAGCTTTGGGGCATTTAAAAGATGAGGGAGGGAGGGAAATGGCAATAACATTTCTGTAACATCAGCAATTTTCCACTGCTAACACTGCTAAGCCATCTATCAATTGGCAAAACCTAATGCAAACCGTATAGCTTGATAGAAACATGGAGATGCTAAAAACTGCTCAGATTAATCACTAGCCATTCTAACTTAGAACTTTCTATGCTAGTTTTCTCCAAAGTGGTCAGAATCAATCCTCAAAGGTATATGGTACTATCCAAGGGGGTCAATGTTGTTGTTACTATTAGTACTGTTAGTTAAAATAGTATTTATTAAATCACTTTCATATTTATTTATTTATTTATTTATTTATTTGATTTGCCAATTGTTTACAAGATAATAAGTATAAGTGTATACATAGTTGTGAATACATGAAATGGGTACATATAAGAAAAATAAAAGAAGAATAAGAGAAACAATAGGACAGGGATGGTAGGCACGTTGGTGCGCTTATGCACGCCCCCTACAGACCTCTTAGGAAAGGGGTAAGGTCAATAGTAGACAGTCTAAGGTTAAAGTTTTTGGGGTTTGGGGAAGAAACTACAGAGTCGGGTAGAGTATTCCAGACATTGACCACTCTATTGCTGAAGTCGTATTTCCTGCAATCAAGTTTGGTGCGGTTAACTTTGAGTTTGTATCTATTGTGTGCTCTTGTGTTGTTATGGTTGAAGCTGAAGTATTCATTGACAGGTAGGACATTGCAATGTATGATTTTATATACCATGCTTAAATCAGACCGAAGACGGCGTAATTCAAGGTTTTCTAGTTCTAGAATTTCAAGTCTGGTGGCATAAGGTATTCTACAACGAGTAGAGGAGTGGAGAACTCTTCTTGTGAAATACTTCTGGACTTTCTCAATTGTGCTAATATCAGATACGTAATGTGGGTTCCAGACTGATGAACTGTATTCGAGTATTGGTCTAGCAAATGTTTTGTATGCTCTGGTTAGTAGTGTGATATTACCAGAGAAAAAGCTACGTAGGATTAGGTTAACAACTCTTAATGCCTTTTTGGCTATGTAGTTGCAGTGGGCTCTAGCACTTAGATCATTAGAGGTGAGTATTCCAAGGTCCTTTACAGAGATTGGGTCATCAACAAGATCTTGACTATTCAGCTTGTATTTTATTTTCTGATTTTTTTTGCCAATATGTAAGACAGAGCATTTATTTGTTGAGATTTGAAGTTGCCATTTGTTTGACCATTCTGATACATAGTCAAGATCTTTTTGTAGGGTAGCAGTATTGTCTGTGGTATTGAACAGCTTTACATCATCAGCGAAAAGAACGCAATTGCTCTTAATATGATCACAGAGGTCATTTATGTAGAGTATGAAGAGAGTTGGTCCTAGAACACTGCCTTGGGGGACACCACTATTGACAGGTACAGAATTTGATAGGACGCTCCCAATTTTGACCATTTGTTGTCTGTTTGCCAGGAATGCTTCTATCCAGTTATTCAGTTGTCCAGAGATACCATAGGATTTTATTTTTAGGAGTAGTTTGTCGTGTACACTGAATCAAAGGCTTTACAGAAGTCTATGTAGATTGCGTCTATTGCTTTGCCCTGGTCGAGTTGTGTCGTCCATATGTTTTTGCAGTGTAAGAGTTGCAGATTACAGGATAGTTTTTTTCTGAAACCAAATTGTTTATTGGAGAGTAGGTTGTTTGTCTCTAAGTGGAGGATGATGGATTGGTTAATAATTGATTCCATGACTTTACAGGTGACGCAGCATAAGGAGATTGGTCTGTAATTTTCAACTAGGCTTGGGTCTCCCTTTTTGAAGATGGGGATGACTGTGGCTTGTGACCATAGGTTAGGCAAGGAGCTGGTCCTGAAAGATTTTTCAAAGATTATGCTTAGAGGTTTGGCTATGGCAGTGGATAGCTTTTTTTAAGAAGTAGGCACATATTCCATCCGGTCCAATAGATAGAGATGGTTTTAGATTGCGTAGTGCTTTTTCAACATTGTCTTCTGTAAAATCGATATGTATTAGATCATTGTTGTTATCTGTGGTACGGCTAGGAAATACTGGGCATGATCCATTGCTGTTTACAAATACTGAGCCGAAGAATGTGTTAAAGAGGTTGGCTTTAATGGTGTCGTCGTTGCAGTCTTTACCATCAGGTCCTATCAAGGGTGGGATAGACCTTGAGTCTTTTAGTTTGTTGTTTACAAAATTGTAAAAAGCACAGGTGGAATTGGTGCTTAGAAGGTTTTCCTCTTGTTTAATGTGATAATTGATGCATTCGGTCTATCTGGTGGCATAAATTTTTGTATCGGCTTTTGAAATTGGCAACGTGACCAGATTTGTTTTTCCGCCAGAGTGATCTCTTTTTGGATTGAAGTTTCCTTATTGTTATGGGTAATCTGCTTTTTTGTTTTGTTTTGGGAGTTGTTTTTGGTACATATAGTTTGATGACTCTTTTGACTTCAAGTAAAAATATGTTGTAATGGTCTTCAACAGTATTGCATCCAGTGAATAGAGATTGCCAATCAAGGGATGAGAGATCGTTGTCTATAAGATCATAGTTGCCTTTTTTGAAGTTACAATTGGGGATTACATCACTGTGGTGATTTTTGTGTGGGCGTATGTTGAGACAAAAGTCAATCATATTGTGGTCACTGCTGGAAAAGGGTTCTTTAGTTTGTATTCCATAAATTAAATTCAAACTATTGCAGAAGATGAGATCGAGGCAGTTGTTTAGTCTAGTGTTGTTGGTTACTAGTTGTTCCAGTCCCAGATTTGTAATAGCATTGTAGAAGGTTGTGTGTATGATTTCAGTTGTACATTCATTTAGGGTCCAGTCAATATGAGGTAGATTGAAATCACCAAGAAAGATAAAAGGGTATGGGCAGGATGCAGCCCATGTTAGTAATGTATTTAACTTGTTTACATGTTCAATGTCATAATCAGGTGCTCTGTAACATAGTAAGAATCGAATTGTGATATTTAAGGATAGTTCACAGATGATGGTCTCAGGAAGAGCAAGCTCCTGGGTAACTTGGATATTTTTTAGATGTAAGGATTTTTTTATAGAAGATAGCAACACCACCTCCTCGACAATTTTCACGATCTGATCGGTAAACATGATAGTCTCTTACTGTGGTAATGGAGTCGGGGAGAGTTTGCAGGGGAGTATCAATGAACAGTCTGAAATTTCATGAAGGGGTTGATGAGCTGAAGAGCTGAAGAGTATGGGAAGGCTGGTCTACAGCAACTGGTTCTTCAGAAATTCAAAATAATACCTTTCTTAACTCAATCTGGAAGGTTAGAAAACAGATCTAAGATCCTGTGAATACAAAAAATATACTTGGGAACTTCATGTCAAGTCAGACAAAAAAGGGCTTGAGGTGTTTTTCCTGGAGACCATTTGAAAGAATTTCATGGTGGACATTTGGACTTTCCAGAAGCCCAAATGTCATACGTTTAGTGGCTGTTTTTAAAAATAGGAAAATATACAGAGGAAACTTAGTGACTAACAACCATGACAGAGAAGAGAAACTTGCAACCCTGAGTTAACACAGATAGCAAACCACAACTGGAGCCAACAACTTTGTTGTTAAATGAAATGGTTGCAAAATAAAACTGTGACTTTGCCTATGATGTTACTTCAGCTTTCCTTTTTAAACTAACTTATTTATATATTAAGAAAAATTACATGGCTGCCGAACTCAAGATATAGTAACTCCAGGTGGGTTATAAAAACAAGGTCATAACTTATGAAAGTCATAAATGTGAGGATCGGTTGTAAAATTACTTTTTCATCATTGTTGATAACTGTGAACTGTTGCTCAACAAGAGTGACTTGTACATCTCAACATGGTCTATAACACGGGTGCCAAACTCACAGCGTCACGTTGCTGTCACATGATGTTTCACAACATTTTCCCCATTTGCAGAGCTGGAGTGGGTGTGGCCTGCACGTGTCACATCTGGACCACGGGCTGCCAGTTTGACACCCCTGATCTATAATAGCCCTTTGTGGACAAATAAGGGAAGATTAGGATGGCTATTGCCAGTATGTCTTGATTTTTAAAGGCTGATCACTGTTCAGGGCCAGTTCTGCCATTAGGCCGCTTTGGACAATGAATAAACCTAGGTAGCCATGAATACTATGTATGTTGTTGGAATGAATTCTTAAAACAGAATGACAATTTGCCCTGAAAATGAGACAGCTGTGGCAGAAGAAGATAACTGGCTGTTTTCAGCAGCGGTTTCATTTCCACCTTTCCCAGCTGTCCCTTGACTCACTCTGAGCTTATTTGCTTATGTGATTCAGCTTTATCTTGCTGATCACAGGCCTCACTCCTGTGTGGAGAAAAAGAAGCACAAATAACAGCTTAACTAAGTTGTCAGCAGAAAAGGAGTGAAAAGGATGGAAATTCTCTCCCAGGCCAATTCACACTCCTCTTAGCTTCCTCTGTGGAGCTGAGCAACATGAGTACAAACTCACCTGAAGGACAATTAAGTACAGGTAATCCTTGACTTAAAACAGTTCAGTTAGTGACTGTTCGAAGTGACAACATGTGTGAAAAAGTTGATTTATGACCATTTTTCATACTTACAACCACTACAACATCTCCATGGTCGCATGGCCAAAATTCAGTTGTTTGGCAACTGACTCATGTTTATGATGGTTGCAGTGTTCTGGGGATCATGTGATTCACCTTTTGCAACCTTCTGACAGGCAAAGTCAACGGGGAATTCGGATTCATTTAACAACCATGTTGCCCATTACAGCGATTCACATAACAACCGTGGCAAGAAAGATTGTAAAATGGGGCAAAAACTCACTTAATAAATGTCTCACTTAGCAACAGAAACTTTGGGCTCAATTGTGATCATAAGTCAAGGACTTCCTATATTAGCACTGAACAGCAATAGCACTTAGACTTATATACCGCTTCCCAGTGCTTTACAGCTCTCTCTAAGCAGTTTACAGAGTCAGCCTCTTACCCCCAACAATCTGAGTCCCCATTTTACCCACCTCGGAAGGATGGAAGGCTGAGTCAACTTTGAACCTGGTGGGATTCGATCTGCCAAATTGCAGGCAGTTGGCTGCAGCAGAAGTAGCTTGCAGTAATGCACACTAACCACTGTGCCACCGAAGCTCTTAGCTAGGTGAAGGATGGGGAATCTAGTGACTCCCTCTCCCAGCTAATGCCTGATAAGAAGCACTGATTCAATTTCCCTACAGAGTACATAGAGTGTACATGGAGTACATAGAGTAACATGAAAGTAAGGGACAGCTTTAGGCGTGATCAAGCCTTGACCAAGTGCGTCCTTGGTGGAAACATCCCAATTCCAGAACTTGCCATTTGCCATTTCCTAGTTAGCAGGTAGAGTCTGACAGCGAATAATAGAGTTCACCTGGTACCGTTTATACGAAATGATGCAACTTCACTTCATTTGTGCTAGGATTGGCACTAGCCAGTGTACCTATGTAGACTGAGCACTCCCCTGCCAAGACATAATGTATCTCAGGTCTGTCATTAGCAACAAGAGGAATTCCCTGCTAGGACATTTGAAGCTCAAGAGCTGGCAGGAGAAACGAAGCGAGAAAGATCCCCCAAGCTCCAGCACACTGAGCTGAAAACCACCTTCAGAGCAGTTTGTCCTGCACTGCACTTCAGCAGAAAGTAAATCGGTCTAGCTTTTCAAGAGAAACATTGGCATGGGGGTCACAGGTGTGTGGAGCTGATCCAAGAGTGGTGCAGACTTCTTGAAAAGAAGCGCTCCACCTGAGCTAACAGATGGGAGGAAAATGAGTTCTTTAACAGAGACAAAGGCAGCAGGTTTAAAAAAAACAAACTGAAAAACCCCCAGTGAGAAACTGTTTTCAAGCCATGTAAGGCGGGGATCAGCCTTTTATTTCCCTATGGGATATTTTTGTTTTGTCTTTGGCCTTAAAAGGATGATTTAGAAAGCTGCATGAGCTGCATGGATGATCTGAAGTACATCATAAAGATTAGCGACACAGTAATTCTCACAATGGAAGAATGGACAGTAAAGGTGATGCAGTTGGCAAAGATGGCAACACCGACTGTAATTAAAGAGAAGAACCTGTGTGATTCTTTTTTTTTCTATTTGGAAACCACTTCTGGACAGTTTGCTCAAAACTGAAAACTGAAACTTTGATTTTAGGTTTTGGGGATTAGAATGGTTTTGTTGTTATTGAGATGTTTGAAAGGTTTAGAAATGTAAAGCAAAACCTTGAGATTGTAGCTTTTGTGTATTCTACTGTGCTGTAAAAAGTTGGAAAACACTACTCTTTTTCCTTTTTTTGCTTTCTTTTTCCTTCCTTCCTTCCTTCTTTCTTTTTTTTCTTTCTTCATCCCTCTTCCTTCTTTTTTTTACCTTTCTAACTTTTGTTTCTTTTTGTATTATTACCTTATAAAAACTTTACTAAAAGACTCTAAAATAAAAAGATATTCCGTAAGACAAATTGTTGGACTTTTTTCATTTATGAGAGTATTCAGGGAGCTATTTTCACTGAAATAGGTTCTTTTATGCCCCTGTTTGGGGAGTAGCTCTTTAAAAAAAATCCCTTAAAATCCTGCTGAATTTTTATTGATGAATTTCAGTGACATGATCTTGGCAGGCTAGGAAAATGTAACCAGGAAGCTGTATGTGGCCTGCAACCCATATAACCGCCCCTCTTTGGACAATGCAGAGCAAGATGGAAAAGTAATTTTCATTTTATAAAATAAGCTATTAACCCAGATCTATTTTGAAGCTGCCTGTAAAAGCAGCCCCCTTGGGGTGTGTTAAAAGCGTGTGGTTGTTCGTGGGGATTAAAGATATCACAAATCAGTAGAAAGGCTTCTTCAGAATGGAAATGATTGGACTTTTATTGAACTTCCCTGCTTTTTGAAGACAAAGAGCTTCTGAGCTCCTTATTTCTGCCTTGTAATTCCAGTACAGGAAAACCAAACAAAGGGAGTTTTGGGGAAGGGGGGAGTGTCACATAGATTTCCTTCCTTGGTGCATAGAAGAAACATCATCTCTTTTAAGTTGTTTGCAGGACCTGTGATCGCCCTCCCCTTTCTTGTCTCTTTCAGTCCCTCTCTTTTATACCTGCTACTCACCAAGAGCTACAATCATTAAAGCAGCGGGAACCCCGAAAGCCAGAGCGTAGCAGTCCCCTCCGAAGCATTGCACGCCCCCTGAGAAAATGAGAAACAAGTTATTCTTTTGACAAGTTAAGATTGTTCCGTCCCTTCCCTCCACTGCTATATTGTAGAAAGAGGAAGTGTCTGGAGATCAGAATGCACTCTATTATCAATTCACCGCTATGCAACTGGAACTGATTTCAGCTTTGACCACAGAAAGTGGCATCCTAAATTTAACTTCTTTGACTTTTATGGTACCTGTTGTAAATATTAGAGATTTAAAGATGCTGTCTGTTGAGCCTGCAATTGAAGGAATTTCAAAATACCATTGCAGCATCTATTGGATGATGATGATGATTCTTTATGAACTGTGCACAGGTTTCTCTAGCATTTAGCAATACCACTTGGACTTATATACTGCTTCATAGTGCTTTACAACCCTCTCTAAGCAGTTTACAGAATCAGCATATTTCCCCCAACAATCTGGGGGTTTACCGACCTCAGAAGGATGGAAGGCTGAGTCAGAATCGAACTCCTGGAAGTGAGTAGAGTTAGCCTGCAAATACTGCATTCTAACCACAGCTTTTGCCATGTTCTCAGCAAACTGGCTTCTTGCATTATAGGAGGCCCTGACAAAACATGTAATTAAGTAAAATCTGAGAACAGAAAAGAATTGCACAGACTAAGGAGCCAGACCAGGATTAAGAGAATTGGAATGCTAAGTCTTTGGTCACCTGACAACAGGTTACAAATCCACTCTGAATAGTTATAATGATAAGATTGGACCGGGGAGAGTAAATGCTTTCTCTTTGACACCTACTCTATCTGCATCTTCCTGCTAGTGGATCTCCATTTTGAAAATCCTGATATTTCATATCAAGCAAGACTAAGACCCATTAACTTTTGAAAAATACAGTCCAATTCGCAAGAACACAGGGCAGGGAAAGGAGTCAAGAAACTAAATTATGCTGCTGGAAAATGACACCCAAATTTGAGCCAACTGCTTGATCTGAAAGCTACACAATTTTGTTTATGGGAAGGCTTACCTAACAGCAACACTGGGTGCATGGATATACTTTACTAAAGGGATTTCTGAAGTGGAATAGGGGAAAGAACAGCTAATTAGGCTTTGAAGTTGGAGCCTCTTCTGCAAGCTACAACAGAGAAAATGGACTGAAATAATCCCACATGCTGGTGTTTGCTTCTGCAGTACGGTACAATATATGCATGCGCGTGCACACACCCAGGCCAAATTGAGACATATTCTTCACAAAGCTTGGATTTTACCACCCCCGTTAAATATTCTGCACAACAGAAAATAGTAGAAATGAAAACAAAATCCTGACGCAGCTGCACAACCAACCGGGTAGAATATTGCTAATAAAATATTGATCACAATTACTGAGTCGCTTCTCTGTCTGAAGTTCACTTTTATGCCTGATATGAGCTTATTTATTTCTCTTTCCAGAAGATGAGCCAAATTTTTTTACAGTCAAAGCAGGAAGTGTTCTGCTCTGCAAACAGATTACTTCTGATCTACAGCAGGAGATATTTGAAGCTGCTCTGTACTGTGACCTGAAAGGTCACATACAACTGCCAAATTTCTGAGAAAATAAGGGTCATTTTGTTTTTGTTTTTCTTTTAAAAGGACTTTTAAAAATCCTATGTCTTAATTCCACTCCAAAATATGCCACTGTTTTTATTTTGCCTGACAATGATCAGTGTAGATGTAAGAAGCCTGTCTTTTTCTCCCCTCATAATGTGTGGAGCAAAAGCCAATCCATATTAGCCCAACTGAATGCCTCTACTGTATACTAGAACAAACACAGAATATTAGCAGGTCCTCGAATTCCATCCTGCTGTTAAAGAGGTTCACAGGGAAAATAAGAAAAAAAATATTTATACACATGTTGTTGAACTGCCCTGTGAAATAGGAAGGGAAGCTCTAGTCTGCCTTTATTCTTGGGATTTTAAAGCGTGGTCCATATGCTGCCACTATGTTCATCTGGAGTTGGTCATTGCTTAGGGGACAGCCTGAGAACAACTGTGTTGTTTTCCTAAGATTGATGAAAGTGGAAGAAGACAAATATAACAATCAAAATACCAAGGGGCCAGTGGCAATCTTTTCCTTTTAAAATAACAGAAGTATTATGTGGATGTCATATTCTTGAATATATTCCAAGATTACAATGTTCTAAAGAAAATGATAACAATTGCTGTTCTTCCGAAACAATGGGGGATAATCGCGATAAGTCTACTGAAGCTATTCCAAAGGAGCATTTAACCTCTTTACTCATAAGAGAAATTAGAATAAGTTAGAAGCAGATGGGCATCGTGGGGGTGCATCTAATCATTATGAGCTCAAACATTTATGAACGCATCTGTGGCATTTGAGTTGAACTTGTTTCCCAAGGGTGTATTTTAAATTCCATTACCCCTGGTCATGGTAAACTAACACTGACCTCTTAGCACAGGAGTAAGAAAAGTGGAGATCAAGCTTCCTGCATTAATGGCAAGATAGAAAACAGAGAAGAACTTGTTCCTTTCCTGGACCTAAAACAAGACAGAAATCACATCAGTCCGATATTATAGCACATCTTAAAAGATAAGCATGGCTTTCATAAAAAAGGATTCCAACAGTCCTACTGAATTATGGTAATCATATGAAATACTGACATAACATCTTAAAAATTGATATAAATTAAAAAAAATAAAATTAACATGAGATTACATTTTTAAAAGCTGAGTTGAAATAGAGGCATGGGTACATATGTATGTAAGTATGTATATGTATGTATGTATATGAATGTGTATATATAGATATACATGATATACGCACAAATACACACACATACACAGAAGTAACTAGGAGCAATGCTGCATGGTGAATGTATTTGCAAGGAGTAGCAGCCACTCATTCAATGCATGCTTTTTAATTGAATCAGTCTAACCAGTCAGTCCTTGAGAACTCATTATATGTTCATAAATATGGTAAGAAGGAGAAAAAAATCAACTGTTGCTGGGAAACTATAATTGGTAAAATATTACCAACCACAGCTGTAATCTCTTGAATAGTAGTCTAGCTATTTTGAATCAACAACAACTCATTCATAAATCTATTTACATGCAATTGTTAGTTCATTTATTTCAGTGGAATTTATAAAAACAAACACTATTTTTGCCAGATGAATTCAAGGGATTAATTTGTTTTTAATTATGCTATCAGGAGCCGGAAGAAATATTGCTAATGTGTTAATTAACAGTTGGGGTCTGCAACGTCAAAAATATTGCAGCATATCTGTCCTTTTGGGTACAGTTGTATTTTATCCAATTTCTATTATATTTTATTATATTGCTGTGTGCAATATTATTTCAATTTATTATTTTATTTTATTCAATTTATATGTGTTTGAGCTGGTTAGTCAGTAGACTGACTGGCAATGTTCTCTTTTAAAATATCAAATGTTATACCCTCTCAGTTCTAATTTTCTTTTCATTTTTGTATCCTCTTTATGACATTTAAAGCACTTTTGCCCAATCGCTGGCATCACACACAAACCTTCCGGCATTTTTGTACCCCCATCAATACTGCTGTCTTTCAAGGTTCAGTCTTTTGCATGAACTGACAATGTCCCCAAGTGGCTGACCAAGGGGCGTGTACAAAAATAATCTGTCAATCAGTTCTCTGCCCTCCAGCTTTATCATTATTTCATTGCAGATGTTTTCATGCAGAAGAAAGGAAAAAACATCACCGAGAGTGGAAGCTGCAAAGCCACACCTTTCCATAAGTGAACAAGAAAGAGAAATTCTGCAGAGTGAGAAAGCTGGATTTTTTTAAATAAGATAACTGTCTTGGGTCATGGGACCAGGATAGAGGAGCAAGGCAGGTTTAGAATGGGATTGTTTGCAGTATTCCAAGCCACTGCCCAATTCCTTTCCCGTAAGATGCATTTTCTCCCCACTCACCCACCCACCCCCAGAATGTTTTTCTCTTCATCTGTCTATGGAGATTCTCAGTCATCCATGTAATCGTTGCCTCAAAGGTGCTTTTTTGTTATTCAAAAGACAACTGGAGTCTTTTTCCCTTGAGGAAGAAGAAGAAGAAAATGTTTTGCTTCTCATCCAAGAAGCTTCAACAGTTCTGCTGGTGGGCAGGGATGATGGAAGGATAGGTACTGACAATTGAGACTGAATGGTGGGGGGAATGGAAGGATTGTATTTCTTTGCAATCATCTGGATGTGAGCACTCTTCATCTTTTTCCCCTCTTTTCCTTTTTCATCATTTTCTCTTCATCATTTTTGAATCTGATAGTCTTTTGCCAGCTTCACTCACCTTATCAAATTTGGTCCAATTCGATTTAATTTTAATCTTTTGATGGACACATAGATACCCCCACTCCTTTAACCTTAAACTATCCACTACTGACCTCACCCCATTCCTAAGTGGTCTGTAAGGGCATAAGTGCACAATCGTGCCTACCGTCCCTGTCCTATTGTCCCCATTTATTTGTACCTATTTCCTGTATTCTTACTCATGTTTATACTTGTACCTATTATCTTGTAAGCGATTGACAAATCAAATCAAATCAATAAAAATAAATAAATATTCTGAGTACGCACACAGACACACACATAGTTTGACACACCATAATTCCTTGACTTCAACAGGGAAGGAAGAAAGATAAGGAGCTAGTAACATTCCACCCCACAAAAGACCCTTAGTAGTACAGTTTTAAAGAGGAAGGAAATGCTATAAGCATTTTCCTTTAAATATTTGAATTGGAAACATTGTAATTCCTTGAAGCTTCCTAATTTCATCTTCCTATGTGTGGATGATGCTATTTTAGCTACGTAAAGTTTTACACTCAAAGGGGAGTTTGTTCTAAATGTGAAGGAATGTATGGACAGCAGCCCTTTCATTAGTTTTTTTTTGTGTGTGTGTGGTCGTCTTCAGGATGGAATATGTAAACTGTAAGATGAAAGTACTACGAATGAAAAAATGGGTTGCATTTGAACAAATTGTGATGAAAAATGAATAAGATATTGATTTTGCACCAGTAGAATAAATGATGATAAAAATAGCCAGATTCTTATGTGGTATCTCAGCTTATGTGGTATCTCAGCAGCACAGTTGAGGAAGGACAGTTCCAATGATTTTCTTAGTAAATTCAGAAGGAATCAGAAAGCAAGGCCAAATGGCTTATTTTTATCCTTTCAGATGGAATATATTCCTTGTCTGTATGAAGATGAATAGAATTGCCTAATCATGTAAATAGCATAAAGGAATAAAACACTCATTGTGGTTTATCACACTAGAAACCCATTGACATTGTAAAATGGCTTGAATTATATTAATGCACACTGGTTTCTAATACATAGAAAAGATCTGATTACTAGGCAATGTGTAAGTGGATTGCTTTATATGCTCTGCTCATTCCTGAAAAGAAAATATGGTTTTCATACCACTCACATTTCCTGATGTCTTTGGAAATGGGGGGAAATTAAAGAAATTGTTATGCTAATCCATGCATGCAAAAAATAGGAAAGAACAGATTAAATGGAGACTTAAGAAAATCATTTATTAAATATTCTCATTACAGGTCACTGACAATTTTGGGATAGGCATTCCTTCAGATGAAGGTGTACCAATAGGTAAATATATAATCCATAAACAGGGTCATTAAATGTAGATACAATTAATCTTAATCATGAAACCATGCAGAATGAAATAAAAATGCCATGCCTATCAATTAACAGTGAGGGGGGAAAGCTTGCTTATACTCTGCCTTGAGAATGTGAGAGGATTATCAGAGTTAGTTTTCACACAGTCACTGAAAAACAAGGTAGCAAATCTGATTATTGCGAAAACGAGGTAGAAATGGAAACTGACCCTTTTGTGCCACAGAGGGCCCCAATAGGTTGCATGTGGTAGGAAGAAGAAAGAGGTGCAAAAGAATTTGAAGACTGAGTACAGATCAAGGTCAAGAACAGAGGAATCAGCAGAATTTTTTGATTATGGCCTCCTAACCTTCCCTCAAAAATGAATTACTATGCTATCAGCAGTTCTGAATTCTTGTAAACTTATCTATTTGGATATAGTCCTGCCTGCTGGGTGAGATATGACAAGGATAACAATCCCAGGAAAGCCATGTGCAACCAATACTAGCAACTTAAAATAAAAATGCAATTATTTAAAAACAACCATCTCTTTAGTATCTTTCTAACCATGTAAATAATCTTTGAAAATCAGCATCAGAATGGCATATGCAGTACAGAAGTCAGCTGGCTCATAATAATGAAAGATGGAAAAAGAAACCTATGCTATTAGTACTCTGTGTTAGGGCAGAAATTTTTTAAAAATCATCCTAATGTTGCAAATCACAAATTGTTCTGCCATTAGGTTTATGTCCCTTATTCCCAGAAACCACTGAATCTTGCGGGTTGCTCCACGTACTATATGCAATTCCATCTTTTAGTTCCTAAGCTTCTTTTTTATCTATAGTATTTCAGGGGAACTATTCCAGTAGAACTGATCAGCAAAACATTGAAGAAGTACCTACTTTCATGGGATATGAACTGACTTAATGATTTCTTTCTTACTCAAATTCTCTTCTCTTCCTGCTCCAACCTCTACCTAGACACAAGGATATTAATCACCAGGTACAGTCTCTAGAATCCCTTTCTGTTTGTTCTCCTGGCAGGCTCCTTCATTGGATGATTTTAGAAAGAAACCAAACAGTTCTTGTTAAAGGGGTTTTGTTGCTACTTCTACTTTTATTGAATAGCTTTTACAACTATTTTTACATTATGTTATTAACTGACTGCTTTCATTACAATCACTGTCTTCAATGTCATACTTGGAGGATGACTGCTACAAAACTGCAACCAAAACGGGGTCATTAGGTAACAAGTGTAAGTTATTAGCTTGCACAGAGGAATGCTGGCATCGGCGAAAAGCAATTATTTCTTTCAGTTTCAGACCATCAAAATGTAGAGTAAGCATATTCAGCAGCTATGAATGCCATGACAATAAGCATGAGAGGCTGGAGGGCAGGGGGAAAATGTTCTCCCTGTCCCTTGTTAGAAAATGTGGTTGACTTGATCTCAAAAACTTACACCCAAAAACTGTCATTAGAAACCAAGGCTAAATTGCCATATTTTACTGCTGCTCTCACTTGTTCATCTAAAATAACAACCAATACCTCTGCGGTTTGCAGAAGTATTATTAGCTATACAGCCTGTCTTTGTCCAAAAGAGATGGACCAGTTAGGAATGGAGATCCACAAAGTTAAACTAATTTTCGTTTGGAAAAATAAAATAAGCTTGATAACTAAGTGTGGTGTGATATTTTCTATTAAAAGCTCAATCTTATCCTCTATCTCAAATATAGAAAGAAAAAACCCTGAGCTGTCAGAGGTACACAGTATACTTAGTGTACACTGAAACTTTAGCACCTAACTAAATATAGCAAGCATAATTTAGTTTTATTTGGTTTGGGGTTTACTAATTATGTGTACATGAAGAAATAGACAAGTATAGGAAATGAAAATAAA